TTTTGAACAAATTCTGAAATATGTTGGATTAACTTGATGAATTTTGTACATAATAAATAAACCATAATTTTGAATTCAAAAGATGTAAATTTATAAATCAAAGATAAGAAACTGAATACAAGGATTAATATTTTATCATAGCATGTTTATTACAGCTGGTTTTTTTATTATCAAAGTCCTCTTTTTGCAGGTTTTTACAAGTTTTGTGCTCAAATTGATCTATAGCAATATGTGCAAGTTTTATCTGTCCACTTTTATACAAAAACAAAGTGATGTATTTCTTTGTTGATTACAGGTGATGTGATTGTTATAGTGTTAAAATTAGTTATTTGATAGTTATTTGTTATAAGTAGTGCTAGAAACAATTTGTTTTAAATTGTGTTAGAAATGATTTAATCTTTTTAAATTTAAATTACTGTCTCTTTTGTGTGAAATGTTGCAATCAATGCAAGTGCTTGTGCAGCTTTTTCTTAAGCTTTTTGCATTCTTGTAAATGGATACATAGTACAGATTATAGTAATGTCATAAAGATTACGTTTTCATTTACATCTTAAAATAGACCAACAATGACATCAGCAAGAGAAACACAAGAGAGGTATACCCTGGCATTTACAACAGGTTGTCTGACTGCCTAAATGGATGCAGAGTCAATGTGATATTTGTTTGGATGCTAAAATTGACTTTGCATACTTTTTGACATTCATTGCAGTTGATATTTTTAGTTCACTCAGTTATGATCAGTTTTATCTAAGGTTGAATTTTGCCTCTTCATAGACTGACATTCATCAATAGTGTCTTCATTTGTATTGGTATGTACTGAAACTCTCTACCTGTATCTATTGGAAATAAGTACCTGTATTTTTTTAGAAATGAGTACCTGTATCTATTGGAAATAAGTACCTGTATCTATTGGAAATAAATACCTGTATCTATTGGTAATAAGTACCTGTATCTATTGGAAATGAGTACCTGTATCTATTGGAAAGAAGTACCTGTATCTATTGGAAATGAGTACCTGTATCTATCGGAAAGAAGTACCTGTATCTATTGGAAATGAGTACCTGTATCTATTGGTAATAAGTACCTGTATCTATTGAAAATGAGTACCTGTATTTATTGGAAATGAGTACCTGTATCTGTTTGAAATGAGTACTTGTATCTGTTGGAAATAAGTACCTGTATTTATTGAAAATTAGTACCAGTATCTGTTGGTAATAAGAACCTGTATTTATTGGAAATAAGTACATGTATCTATTGAGATTGGTTACCAGTGTCTTTTGATACAGTTTACTTAGTCTGCTGAAACTGTTTAGCTGTATCTATTATAAATTTTTACCTATATCTACTACACCTTTACCTGTGTCTGTTGAACATGTTTACCTGTACCTGCTGAAGCTGCTTGCCTGTGTCTGTTGAAAGTGTTTACCAGTACCCTCTGAAACTGTTTACAGGTATCTACTGAAAATGTTTACAGGTATCTTTTGAAACTCTTTACTGGCTATCTATTGAAATTGTTCACTAGTGTCTACTGAAACTATTTACAGTTATGTCCTGAAAATGTTTACATATATCTATTGAAATTGTTCAGGTCTTTTTACTCGAGTTCATATGAAAATGTTAAAATAATTGCATCTGTGGGTAACTGTGTCATGATGAAAAGTGTCTATCTGGGTCAAAAGAATGTATTATTGGTACAGCCCTTGCCCATTTTGACAGCAAGCAGCATTATTAGGTAAATAATGGAGAGATTGACATTTTCTCTATGGGTATTTTTAGCTTGGAAGAATTACGACTTATATCACAGGCAAAACAAAGTCCATTGTTGTGTTCTATTTACATAAATTTCAGCCCCTGTGGAAAGGTATTATAGCTACAAATTAGATTTTGGGTATACGTGTGTGTTGTGTGTGTGTGTGAAATGACTCGGTTTCATTTGTTACCTCTATTCAATCCCAGAATGCATTGCATATGTTGTAGGGTTTGTTGCATCCATGATGTCATTGTGACAATGATTAATATCTTTATGAATCGTGTTACCTATTCAATGACTTGTTTTGTTTACATCTAGTTATGGTTCTTTGAGATTAATTTTGTAATGAAGCTTGGTTTTGAAATTGAACCTCATTGTTTGTATTTGTAATAACCAGGATCAGTCTCCAGCCATCATGACCAATGCAGTGCAAATGACAGCGAATTTACCTTTTTAAGAAATTTTTAATGTATATTTTTTATTGTTACATTTTAAGTTACATTCTACAATTTATTACTTTAAGTATCATGCATACATATTTGGAAAGTGTGTTTTAAATATCAAATGGAAGGATAGATTTAAGAAAAGAATAATTCAATTTCCTAATTTGAATTATGATTAAGAATTTGTTTCTTGGTTTTATAAAATGTAGTTAGGAAATCTGTGTGTTTTAAATATCAAATGGAAGGATAGATTTAAGAAAAGAATAATTCAATTTCCTAATTTGAATTATGATTAAGAATTTGTTTCTTGGTTTTATAAAATGTAGTTAGGAAATCTGCCAGGTGTCTAATCTGACCAGAACTAGTTTCACCGTGCCAGGCCACATTTGTGAGTGACCTGCATTTGAAATATTTGAAATTCTATCTCCTTTATGGGGAAATATAAATCAGTCTTGTGGGCACTTTTTAAATAATACTTTATTTAGTGCAGTACACAACTTTTCACAACAACGACTTTGTAAGTACTACTTCATTTGAGGAGTTCATTTGAAAAGGAATTATTTTTTTTTGGTTTTATTTTGTTTCTTCCTTGTTTTGAAACTCTGGAATTTATTTTAAAAAATTCATTAAAGGATATCTTTAAAACAATTTATGCCATCAAAAATATTTTCAGTTGTGTATTTAGGCAGCAGTGGGTGGTAGTGAACAAATATGTTGCAGCATTTAAACCTTTGTAATAATATTACCTTAAGGACCATAAAGAGCTTGCTGAACTTGAGTGTATAGCTCAGTTTTTTTATATTTTGCCAAGTTTTAATTGTATATATAGTCAAGATAAAATAATAACCCAGTTAAAACGTTTTTTTTTTTAATCACGTAACCAAGTAATGGTTTTCTTCCATTCTTCAAATAGATTTGTTGTAAATTTAGTTAAAATATATTTTCATAACACCTGCAGTTGCATATTTGTTAAATTACTAAATTATTATTGCTTATTAGTTCAAAGGTATTTTCATTGCACCAGTAGTTGTATCAAGTTTATAGCTGTATTCTCCCGTAAAAATGTGTACTCGTGCTTGGTACTGTATGTTTAGTATTAACATTCCAACACTAAAACAGAAACTTTGCTAATAAACCTTATGCACATCATTAACACTTGTAGTAATATTTATAGATTACATTAAACTGTGCAACCAATCTGTAGCACTCAATCTGTGGAATTAATTAAGGCCATATCAGTGACCTTCTGACTAAATGTTTGCCCATGTAATGAATTTTATGATGTCATTGTGACTTTTAACCTTTGTGGGTTACAGTTTAAAACCAAGGAACAATTTGGTTTTAGATTTCAGAGACTATGACTGTTATTTACATCATCTGCTAAAAATAATGTTTAAAATTGTGAATCCTTAAATGGGAATAACAATAGTCTTTTTTTATAGAACTTGTACTTAGGTTGAAAAACAGAACAAAATTGGTCTACCGTAACATACAATAACTAAGGTAAATTTAATTATTTGAGCCCATTGGCGGCTGCAATAAATTATATTGTGTCTCTAGATTTTCACATGGACTTTAAATTAGCAGAAGAATTGTTGATCAGCAATATTTATTTTCACGTTTATTTTGTAAGCTTAGAATTTTACTTTAAAATTATATTAGCTGTATACAATTAATTTTTTTGCATGAAATACAAGTTTTGTATATGTTTTGTAGTATGCAGGGATATTTAACGAAATCTGTTCATCAGGACCAATTTGGGAATAAAGTGATTTTTCTTAGTCATGTAGTTAGAATTTGCATGCCCAATATACTTATTAAAGCAAAATAACACATTTACTTGTTTTTATTTTCTTTCTCTCTCTGTAAAATTTCCTCAATGAACTGTTGAAATTTGTGTATACTTCTGTAACCTTTTAGAGAAGATAAGAAACAAATGCAATTAAAGAAAACACCAACAGACATGACTACAATCAGAATACAACTTGATATTTCTGATAGGATGTACCATGATATGTAGACATGGACTGGCTATGACGTGCTATCTTATACCATTTTACTTATGATTAAATCTGTACCAAAGGAAACTTGTCTAAATGGTGAATACTTGAACTCTTGTATTTGCCCAGAAATTGCGGATTCATTAGATAGCGGGTTTGAACCCCGGCAGAGTTATACCGAAGACCTATAAAATGGTACTAACAGCTGCCTCAATAGGTGCTCAGCATTAAGAGGTTAGTGTTAGGAATGGTCGGCTTGGTGTCAGGATAATGCAGTTGGGTGGGACATAATGCTACGTGCCTGAATCATGATTCCCCAGTGCCAGATATCACTATAAACGGCCACACTGCAGACATCAAAGCGATATGACTGAAAAGAGTTGTTAAAGCTACGTTAAAAATCCAAAATCGCCCCCCACCCTCTGAAAGACCTTCATTTTTTAGTTTTTACTAAAGGTTTTTTGGTTAGTTATTGTGGCGATATTTCAAGATGGGTCAGCAAATTTGTTTCAAACAAAATGTTTTTCTTTTTTTAAATTTTATTTTGAGTTCTTCTTGAAAGAAGTATTTGAAGGTACTTTTGTTTGTTTGTAAAAGTCCTATACTTTTTAATTTTTCTTTAAAACATTTTTATTAATTCCAATACAGACTGGTAATGTCTAGCAATGGGGCATCAAGCCGCAGACATGTAGAAAGATGTCCCACCCAATCACATTATCCGACAACAGGCCGACCTGACCTAACACTAATCTCTTAATGCTGAGCGCATATCAAGGCAGCTGCTAGTATCATTTTTAAGTCTTTTATTGACTGTCGGAATTCGAACCCATGACATCCCGCATCCAAGGCGGACGCTCAAACCACTAGGCCACCGGTATGGTACTTTCAGATTGGTACAAATAATGCCTTTAGCCATCATTAATAAACATGGAAGAAAAATAAATCAAGCATTCAAATGACTTCTCCAAAACTGCTTAAGAGAATTTGATTAAATTTGGCAGAAAGCATTATTACATAAATGTCTTTCAATTTTGTACAAATATGGCAAAACCAGTTTAAAATAAGGGAAATTACTACAAATAGACATTACTCTAAGCAACTTCACAAAATGTACTCACAGAATTTGATCAAATTTGAAAGAAAGTATCCTGGCATGAAATACTTTCAAATTGTACAAATTCAAATTATTGTCGTTTTACAGTTTTATGTACACCTTTTTAATATTCTATGTGTTAATACAGAATTATTATTACCATGCTGTCGCGTATAAAATCATTGTTTAGAATGTGTAGCCATTGGAACATTTGTTATAGTTGATAGCTCTGCTCAACTATGATAATTCCAGTTCACTAAACAGTAAATTGGCACCGGCTTTTAATGTTGACTGTATGGCTTGATGCCAAAGCAGCCGTAGAATCTGACGAAGACCCGGGCAACAAACTCAAACCCCAAACTAAAACAATTCACCGGACCATAAAGCCAAGTGAATGTATGGTAGGACTCTGTCTTTCACGTATCTTTTGTCCACCAAAATTTGCTTCTTACTGGTCTAAAGTTCATATTTTGGATCCGCTTTTTATTGTTGGTATTAATATCATCAATAGCATGGTCAAATTCAAATGTGAGTGACATGTATATTAATGAGGTGATCTTACACCTGACTGAATAAGCTTCATACCATTCTAGAGGCCATATTTTTGTCATCCTATTTTGATAAAACTTTGAATATATACTATATCGTCCAGATTTCAAATGAGTTCAACAACAAGCCATATGTACACAAACTGAGATCAGTATGTACACAGGCTGTGATCAGTAGGTACATAAACTTGAGGAGATCAGTATTTGCACAAACTGAGGAGATCATGCATCCATTTTTCAGAGCTTATTACCCTTCGTGTAGTATTCTGCTGCACAACATAAAGCGTGTGTGTGTGTGTGTGTGTGTGTGTGTGTGTGTTTGTGTGTGTGATTTGGATTTTTAACTTGGCTTTAACAATTGTTCAGTCATATCTATATGATGTCTGCAGAGTGACACTATAACGAAGTATAACACTGGGGCATCATGCCGCAGACATCATAGCTCACTTTATTACATTATTCTGACACCAGGCCGACCAAACACTAACCCCTTAATGCTGAACGCCTAGAGAGGCAACTGTTAGTACCATTTTTATGTCTTTGGTAGAACTGCACGGGTTTTAACTAGTATCCGACAAGGGCGTTCTAATCACTTTGGCCAACGGAGCGGTCACATCATAAAGAGTTGTTTTATCAATGGATCACATGGATGACATCGACCTATCTTGGTCATCATCACCTTTCATCTACCATATTTGAGTTGTATTCATCATTCTATAAATTTAATTTCAGTGTAATGACACCATCTAGTAATACATGAAGCAAATGTGACCAATATATTAGTGTAGCTGTGTTTGATGCCAGATAGCCGAACTATTCTGTACATGTTCACTGATTATCTAAATCGTGCACAATTCTATTTTGTAACGTGTATTTGTACAGTTAATCTGTCGGGTCAATATCTGTATCAATTTAAGCTATATAATGATAGCCTATCAAGATGAAAACTTGGTATATTTTATACACTCTCCATAGCATAAAAAACACAACCACCATGCTTCACAATTAACACAAGCCTTTTCATTTGCAAGTCATTCAGTCAAATCTATATAATGTATAGTGTTTCATTGAGTATATGGTATTATCCGTATGCAATGTTAAGTACTCTATTCTCTCAAAGATTCACCTCATGATTTACTTATTTCTGTCCAAATGTGTTTGGAAGAATTTCAAAACATAGCTTATATTGCTGTTTGCTTTTTTGTCTTTGGTCATTTTGTTAATGGGTTCAGTTCTGTTACCAAAAGAATGTTTCTTCAAAAGTGTGCTCAATACATATACTCGTCAAGAACAGCAGCACTTTTATAGAACTGAATTGTCTCCCTTTTCTAACGATGGTAATCATCAGAGATGGTTCGGTGTTATTGAAAAATGAATAAGAGTCTAAATGTAAACTCTATACGTATGGAGATCTTTCTTAAATAAATCTATATGTCTATCAATGTTAGTCATGTTTAAATTCCTTCTCTATTTTTAATGATCTGAAGACATCATAGAGTTCTTTTTTTCCGTAACATTTGATAAACTGTAAAAAATGTTTAATGCAATATGTTGGACAAATACTTCAACAAGTGTCTTAAGAGAATGAATAATAATCGCTTTCGTAAAAATAAATTATAGAGATTCTCAGTTCTCCTCTACAATTTCAATACATTTTAATACGAAAATAATCTCTCGTTAGTCGATTTTTCTTTAATGCCAATAAATATTGTTCTTGGAGACATGCATAGACCCTTAAAAGAAAGTTATTGGATTTATAAATTAGATACTTTGTATTCTAATGGTCTTAATACAAAAGCACAATATAAAATTGTATAAAATTATAAAAAAAAAGAATTAATATGTAGTAATGTAGTATATCCTTTATAAAATCTCTGTTTGTCTCTCTGTCTGTCTGTCTGTCTCACTCTCTCTCTCTCACTCTATCTATCTATCTATCTATCTATCTATCTATCTATCTATCTATCTATCTATCTATCTATCTATCTATATATATATACTCTCTCTCTCTCTCTCTCTCTCTCTCTCTCTCTCTCTCTCTCTCTCTCTCTCTCTCTCTATATATATATATATATATATATATATATATATATATATATATATATATATATATATATATATATATATATATATATATATATATATATATATATATATATAAAGAATACAAATCATATGGCGAATAACAACCCTTTCAAGCGTACTGGATCCACCAAGAAATCACGTCGTGTGTCAGGGATTAATTAAAATAGATGCAATAGAAGACTAGAAAATGAAAACTATGCACTAGTAGAATTTAACATTTTCTAAATCTTCTTATTATCCTTCAATTTTTACTATAAGAATAACCGGGATAGAATCAAATATCCGGGATATAATCTGCGTTACATATGTACAAAAAGTAAAAATAGATGTCGCTTTGGCTTGTAAACTTTTAGGGAATTATACAACGTTTTCAGTTTCCGCAACTAGTCTATACAAGCTGGTTGCATTTATAGTTTTAGCACATGTAAAGACAGACATGTAGAGGTTTACAAACACAACGTTTCGTGTTTATTTGTTTGTCGTATATATGTTTTGTATTTGCCTTTGAAAAAGACTCATTAAGAGTCGAAATCGCTTAGGCTAGTTAAGTTACTAGTTTCGTACTGTTCGTCGTCAGTTTATTGCATCTATATATCTATATATATATATATATATATATATATATATATATATATATATATATATATATATATATATATATATATATATATATATATATATATTTATTGTGATACACACGGAGACAAAGCAGTATTCTAAAAGTCAGACTAATTCAATTTTCAATATATATATATATATATATATATATATATATATATATATATATATATATATATATATATATATATATATATATATATTGAAAATTGAATTAGTCTGACTTTTAGAATACTGCTATGTCTCCGTTTGTATCACAAGCGAGGCCACCTGCCTGCTTAATAAAGCCCTGGTTTTTAATTCATAAAACTGGTAAACAATATTCTATTAATCATGCATACAAATGAATAGCCTCAGCTACAATAATAAAATCAGTAGATAAACATAATCTTTCTTAATTGGCTTACTATCAAACATTTAGTTATTAATGTATGTAATTAGTCTTTCTTACGGTGCAACAATTTCAGATTACCCTACGGTCAACTCCAATCTGTGTCGGCGTTTGTGTCAATTTATTTTTTTATTTATTTTTTAAAACCACGCCTGTCCTGGCGACATTATTCGGATCCTTGTTTCAAAGTACCAGTAGACCGCACCTAGTCTGTTCCAGAGTGTTTCAGAAATTTAGTAGCTACATATATTTCCCAGTTTCATGTCAGTTTTGGTTTTATAGGGCATTTTTAAGTGTACAATTCAAATTTGGGATGGAAATTTGTATCGGCGTTAAGAGTTGAGGGATTTCGGATTGGCGAAGATGATGATATTAAAGAAGAAAAATTTCGGGACTCTAACAAATGTCGGTTTTGAGGGGATTCCAGTATCCCTTTCACTATCTCTCTTTCTTTCTTTCTTTCTTTCTTTCTTTCTTTCTCTCTCTCTCTCTCTCTCTCTCTCTCTCTCTCTCTCTCTCTCTCTCTCTCTCTACCTACCTACCTACCTATCTATCTATCTATCTATCTATCTATCTATCTATCTATCTATCTATCTATCTATCTATCTATCTATCTATCTATCTATCTATCTATCTATCTATCTATCTATCTATCTGTCTGTCTATCTATCTATATATCTATCTATCTATATCTGTCTGTCTGTCTGTCTATCTATCTATCTATCTATCTATCTATCTATCTATCTATCTATATCTGTCTGTCTGTCTGTCTATCTATCTGTCTATCTATCTATCTATCTATCTATCTATCTATCTATCTATCTATCTATCTATCTATCTATCTATCTATCTATCTATCTATCTATCTATCTATCTATCTATCTATCTATATAAGATGCATTTTAGTACAATGTGTAGAGAATACATACAGGGCCTTTCTGCATTAATTGAAGATGCTCAATGACGAAATAATATTGATGATGCCAATTCTCCTATCTCATCCTTATTCTCACATGGAATTAGGGCAATTGCTCTCATATATAGACGTAATTAATGACTAATTCGTTCATTTCTTTATTAGATATGGACATTTTTTCAATCAGTAGCGGCTATGTATGTATGTATGTATGTATGTATG